ATTAATTACTCACCCTCATGTCGTTCTAAACCCGTAAGACCTCCGTTTATCTTCGGAACACAAATTAAGATATTTTTGATAAAATCGGAGAGCTTTCTGACCCTGCATAGAACAGAACGCAACTGAAATGTTCCAAGGTCCAGAAACATAGTAAAGACATCGATAAAACAGTCCATGTGACATCAGTGGCTCAACTTTTTTGCGAACAATTTTGCGAGAACACGAGAATACTTTTTGTGCATGAAGAAAACAAAAATAACAATTTATTCAACAATTCTTTTCCCCGAGTTAACATCTTCCGCCATTTTGGAGAGTACCATGACACATGCACGCGCTTTCCCCAGAACGTAATCAGTGTTGTTTACGTTTAGCATGCGTGCAGTTTCTCCTGAACGTAAACAACGGTAAATATGTTGATTACGTTCTGGGGAAAGCACACGCATGCGTCGTGGTACTCTCCAAAATGGCGGAAGATGTTAACTCGGGGAAAAGAATTGTTGAATAAATTGTTATTTTTGTTTTCTTCATGCACAAAAAGTATTCTCGTGTTCTCGCAAAATTGTTCGCAAAAAAGTTGAGCCACTGATGTCACATGGACTGTTTTATCGATGTCTTTACTATGTTTCTGGACCTTGGAACATTTCAGTTGCGTTCTGTTCTATGCAGGATCAGAAAGCTCTCCGATTTTATCAAAAATATCTTAATTTATGTTCCGAAGATGAACGAAGGTCTTACAGGTTTGGAACGACATGAGGGTGAGTCAATGACAGATGACAGAATTTTCATTTTTGCGTGAACTAACCCTTTAAGAAAGCGACTTCATGCTGACTTACTGTATTGACGTTCAAAAACTCTTACTATTGTTTGTCTGTACACGCCTCAGCGCCCAAACAATGGGGGAGCGTACCTTCAGATATGAGCCATAGTATTTGGTGACATAGGGGCTGTCACACTGGCTGAGCACCGTGATCTCCTGCTGAATGTCCTCGATCTCATCTTCCGCCTCCTCCAGGTCGATGATCTTGATGGCCACCACCTCTTTAGTGCGATTGTTGATGCCCTTGTAGACCTCACCGAAAGATCCCTTCCCAATGCGCTCCTGTTTCGTGAAATACTCCTCCGGGTCAAGCCGGGAATTCTGTTGGAGAGAGAGAGAGAGAGACAGCAGAGGAATGATGTGAGATACAATGACAGATGTAGATGAACTTCAATAATCGGTTTCTTACTATGGACCCTTATAGATTACATCACATCCATTGGGATGCTCTACTATACATGTTTGAGAAGCATATGAACTATTTACATATGTATATATATAATGGTATATATACAATTTAAATTAAATGAAACAGACATGACATGAAATGGAACAAAAACAGACGTTCCTTTCCAATGATCTGCATTAAAACTGATTACTCAGACACAATATAACGTTACGACAGCCCTCAATTACCATGACATGCCAGGCTTAATAAACATTATTGTGGTTTGACTGATTATGAGATTATACCCCTGGATGCAGAAGGAACAGACTCGGCTGGGCTGCGGATTTACCTGGTTCTGCATGTCGCGGAGGTGCGCCATCCTGACGGCAGGTCACTGTGGATGACAGCAGATGTGGCCCTTTCTGCCAAAGGAGGGCTGCTGGAAAACTCTTCAGCGGTTTGCTCTCCCTCCTCCGATCCCCTGCTTAGCTAGCTAGTTACATACAAAAACACCTCTACATGTCCTGTTCGTCTGCCGTGTTTTCGGCCTCCAATCCCCTGATGGCGGACCCCGCAGCCTGGCGAGAATCACAGTTAGGTGTCGTGTGACTCCATGTATGAAAACATTTGAGTACGAGCTACTCACTTTCCGCGTCTAATTGTTTTTTTATATTGATCAGCTCACGTTCGGGCGGCTCTTAATTTATTGCTTGCTGGAGAACAAAATAATAGGAGCAACAGCGCATGCGCAGCTTCTGATTCAAGGAACGGGGGATTGTTGGAGTTGTAGTCATACTGGTAGAAGGGAGCGAGATTAAAATCGACATGAAATGGAAATTCACCCTATCTGTTTTCAAATGCATTATTGTGAACCATTTATCCGTTTATTTATTTATACCTCGTATTAATGTGCAATCAAAGTGACATAACTGAACCTTCAGGTGAACACGACAGACTTCTCCAATCATTTAGTTTGCTCAAACCCTGAAGCTTCTTTGCTCTATTTGCCTCCACTTTTGAGATGCAACGCCCCCATCTCAAAATCCAATCAACAACCAAAACTAGAACAACCCTGCTGAAAAAAACAGCTAAAACCAGCCTGACCAGGTTGTGGCTAGAAGCAATACAGCTCCGACCAGAAACTAACAATTAAATTTAATTTTCTGCCTATTAGATTGTGTTTAATTAACATCTACATCTACCCCAACCCTAAACCTACCTCTTACTGCCTCACAATAAGGTAAAAATAGTAATGAATTATTGTTGTACAGTGTGACAAAAATTACGCTATATTGATGTGCACATGCCCAGTAGCTGCAGCTGTCTCCCTTCTAGCCTTAACCGCCTGACCAGCTAAAACCAGCCTGACCTGCTAAAAATGTGGTCAAAACCCCTCTAAAACCAACCTGATAAACCAGCTATGACCAGGCTGGGAGACCAGCTAAAACCAGCCTGACCATCTTAGGCTGGTGTTAGCTGTTTTCTTCAGCAGGGAATGTCCCTCCCTTAATTTCTATTTTTTTCATAATCTGTTAAAAACTTAGATGTACGTTACAATACAAAGAAAAGGTCACAACTTCCATTTCATCAAATCTGATAGGTCATGTTGAACAAAAAAAAACAAACAGCTAAAGCCAGCCTAAGCTGGCTGGCTGATTTTAGCTGGTCATCCAGCCTGGTCTAGGCTGGTCATAGCTGTTTAGCAGGCTGGTTTTAGAGGGGTTTTGGCCACTTCCTTAGCTGGTCAGGCTGGGAGACCAGCTGGAACAACCAGTTAAAACCAGCTTGGCCAGCCTGGCCAGGCTGGGAGACCAGCTTAAACCAGTTAAGACCAGCCAACCAGCTAGGCTGGTTTTAGCTGTGTTTTTTTTTTCCAGCAGTGACAGAGACAACTACAGGTGAACATGGTAAAAGTTTCAAACCAAATAGTAGTAACTACAAGTATGGCATTTCAGATGCAGCTCAAGTCTTGGGGGCAAAAACACCACCGCTTGACCAATTCCAGCTGACCTTATCTTCAAATACACTAGAAAATATCATGTTTCAATATCATTGTGTGAAACGATTATCAATTGGCCTAAAGCAGTACTTTTGTGGGTGGTGATGTGGTGGGTCAGCATTAAATGGAAGTATTTTCTTTCCTGCTGTGACGTACTGTATATATCTGAGTGAAACAGAAAAATATTGTGTGGGACTTGATTTTGTCCATCTGGAATGGATTGGATCATTGTCATTTACTAATTGCTGTGATTTTATGTGACAGGTTTAGGGGGGGGGATTATTGTCCCACACACATCATCAGAGAAGAGAGGTCATCAGGGGAGGAGTCTCAATTTGAAGGATCTTTAGTGGGCAGTCTTCATCTTGTGTCCTTCGTTCGGCCTGTTTTGAAGGATGCATCAGGTGTATCCTTTGTGTCCTTCAAATACCCACAAACCTTTGCACACATTCAGATCCATGAAAAATAATTAGTTAAAAATGAAACGGCACTGAGCTTGTCCAATGTCTATGTAATGCAAGATGAAGCCATTGTTTTCTGTTGTTTTGTTGAAAATAAATCACATAATACTAAACTGTGCATAATGGGAGACCACAGACAACTGCATTAATAGAAATGTTATTGCAGTAGAAACACATTAATTTACATTTAAATTTAATAATTTATCAGACGCTTTAATCCAAAGTAATTTATGAGGACAGAAGCAATCAAACCAACCATATAGTAAATATAAAGATTTTAAGTATTCTTCAGATTGTAATTTTAGTAGTATTTTCATAACATAGCCATGCACACTAATCTCATTCTAGTGTTTAATGCTGAGCAGGACTCTAGCCTTGAAACCTCAGAAGGACTGGACTAGGAAGGATGCAGCCTCCCATTTGAGAAGCACCCAATGAGGGCACATGGAAAAAAAAATAAAAGATGTGCTTGGATAAATCATTTATAATAATCATTGCAATATCCAAAAATAAGAATGGTTGGTTCTGATTTCATGGTGACTTTGTTTGTAGCAATATAAAGGTTTGTTGCCTCTATTATCTGTGCACTTAAATCTACACTAAATAGATTCATTAGGCTTAACTGCATAATGGGATTGCATAAAAATAAATGTTTGACAAATACAGTTCAAATAGACTGCATACAGTAGCCTACTTGGTGCATGAGCAGGATACACCAAATATAGTCTATTAATAACAATTTGTCATAATTTAATAAGGTATATGGGTCAGAACATTTTTGCTACCCACTGGATCTACACAAGTAGGCCTACTGTTTGGGTCAGATTACATTCTTTTAGTTATTTTAATGCAATGAATAGGTCTCAAAACAGTCCTCCTTTACAGATGCATTGAATGAAACTGGCAGTGGCATTCCTCCTGTAAGAATCTCAGTATTAATAGGCATACTCACACTGAGGTGTTCATGAGTCAAACACAGGACTTTAAAGGGTTGTGTTGGTTTGTAGTGAGAGGCTTAGCTCGCTAAACATAGACAGATAATAACTTACCTGGTCAACCACTAGAGCAAAGCATGAATGAACTTCCACTGATCCTTAGGGAAGAATCATTATATGAAATAAACATTTTATTTGGAGCCTTCACACCTACAGCAGGTCTGTTAGCACTCATCTTTTAACACGAGTGTGATTTTTAAAGAAATTAATAGGCTATTATGTTGCATGCTATAGGTTACGTATGAATTTGATAACCTAAGATTTTAAAGAGATGATTAGAATTCATTTTATTTGACTACAAGCATTGCAAAGTCTTGCCAGGATGCCACAGACTGTTTATATTTGGACTAAGCCGTCCACTTGGTTGATTAGTGGTTACCTAAGGCAAGCGTTCCAGGTAGCGAGAAAAGTCGCTTCCAAGTGTCTGATTCAGGGCACAGGCGAACAGCGACCTCAGCACGATGGAAATATGACAGAAAGTCCATTTCAACATCGTATGTTCTTCTCATGCGAAACAGAAGACTGATGGAAGAGACATTGAAGATGACAAATCATAAAATCGGGCAGCGGAAGTTGGTCGATCGATCAGAGTAAATCAGTTTGCTAGCTGAGGAATTTTAGTGGGCTGTTCAATTGTAGTTGTTTTCCCTGATTGGCTATTTACGTTTCGGCGAACCTGTTTCTGATTTAATTTATCTGGACTTTCGTCGGAGAAATGAGCTGCGTAATGTTAGTGGAGTTTGTGGGGTGTTTATGTAGGCAACTTCAACCAGTGAAGTTGCAGTGTTTTGTGCTCGGGTCAAACAAACATGCGGGACCTGAACGTGCTTGAGCGCTCCTCCGTGTTCGCCGCGGAGATGATGATGGAGGTGTTTGATCGGACTCCCACGGAAAAAGAGCTCGTCTTTCAGTCCAAGGAACTCTGTAGAGACTTCATTCACTCCAGAATCGTAAGGGAAGGACTAAGTTGGTCAAAAGTCGAGTCTGATCTGCCCGAGCCACACGGAGCTCTTGTAAATATATCCGTGGTGCTGCTAAAACTGGGTAAGAAAACCACGAGTGAGTGTGAATTGATGCTCTTAACAGGTGTGATGCTATTTCAGTATTTATCATCCAGATAAATCAGGACAATTTCATAACATCACAACTCAAAATCAGCATTCAGATTTATTTCTTTCTGAATTGCCTTATACTCATAAACTTATACTGTGATTTATAACAACTGTGTATGTTGATTGATTCTATCATTGGAAAACCCATTTTAGTTGATCACTGGTCTGAATATTGGAAGGTTGGGGGAACATATCCCTCTCACTGTCATTTGAGTGTATATTTAAACTGTTTTACAGGTGTAGTGTTGTTTTACAGGTGATGAACTTGAGTGTATGCGCCCGTATGTGTATCGTAATATCGCAAAGCAGCTGAACATCAGTGTAGCAGTGGAGGCTGTGGTGTCAGATGCTTTTCTCTCTGTAGCAACTGAGATCCTAGTCATGGGTAAGTGATCTGGAAGATATTTTAAGACGTGTTTTATAGGCAGTGTTTGTGGGCATGACCTCGCTGTCCTTGCATTGAAGTGTTTTTTTTTTTTTAAATGAATAAACACTGAAGTATTTTATTATTTTTATTTTCTCTAGGGTTGTTGTTGTTATTATTGCTAATTCAGTACCTAATTAGCTATTTTGAGACCAAAGAAAAAAAAAGAGGACATCACTACTGCTATAAATGGAGTGAATTTGGAGATATGGGATTTGTTCCAAATGTAAATGAAGCGATGTTAGCCTGAGCAGGGTTTGAGGTTTAAAAAAAAACATTAATTTCATTATGTTTTTATTAAATTACAGTAAAATTGTAATCTAAAACTGGAAGAGCTATTGACTTAAGCCTTTTATTGGATTTCAGTGGTGTGTTTGAGAGGGGCACTTTGATCATCAGTTTAATGACAAGTTCTTCAGTGGTCTTTTTTTGGAACATGGAAAAAACCCTAAAAAGGACATACCCACATTCTTTCCTTTGTACATATTTGGTCACATATTTTATCTGGGTTCTGCTTCTATTGATGTACATAATGGTTGCAGAGGAGTCCTAAACCATGGCAGTATCATTCCACTCTGCCTGATGATCTTCTCACAGACCTTACTACAGAAGATAGAACGTTGTAAGGTTTGTGAGGAGTTATCCTAAATGAATGCTGAATATGAAGGAACATAAACAATTGGAATAGTCCCTGACTCATGCATTAGTGAAGCATGGCAGTGTGTCATGTCAGATTTAAAGGTCTGAAAGAAGACATGGCCAATTTAGGACTTGCAACCTCATGGAATTCTCATTATATCCTGTTATCTAAAATGCTGTATGATTATGATTAATGCAAAAGTGTTCGAGCTGCTAAAAATGGATGGCTCGGTTTTCTAGTTCTTCTCGTGGAATTGCTTTTACTTTCAAGGGATCACATGGGGCAAAGTGGTGGCCATCTACGCTGTAGCAGCCGGGCTGGCGGTGGACTGTGTGCGTCAGGGCCATCCAGTCATGGTGCACACCATAGTGGACAGTCTGGGAGAGTTTGTGCGTAGGAACCTGGTCCCATGGCTCAAAAAGAGAGGAGGATGGGTAAGTGTTCATTCTCGGTATTGCCACCTTCATGAACCAAGACTGGTCCTGACCTCTAGAGGCCATATGAGGAAATGAAGTATTGTTACCATGCTGTGCTAGTGCATTTATTTTCTCAGTCTATACTGCAATTCCATACTATACCTGTTTTTTGTTTTTAAGAAATTGTTACTTTGATTCGGCAAGGACTCATTAAATTGATCAAAAAGGGACAGTAAAGACATTTATAATGTTACAAAATATTTCTTTCAAATAAATGTTCTTGGTTTGTATCATGGTTTACACAAAAATACTAAGCAGCACAACTGTTTTCAGCAATGATGATAATAATAAGAAATGTTTCTTGAGCAGCAAATCAGCATATCTGAATGATTTCTGAAGGATCATGTGACACTGAAGACTGGAGTAATGGCTGCTGAAAATTCAGCTTTGCATCACAGGAATAAATTGCAATTTAAAATGCATTAAAAATGACAAAACAGCTATTTCAAACTGTAATATTTCACAATTTATATAGTTTTTACTGTATTTTCTGATCAAATAAATGCAGCACTGGTGAGAAGATTCTTTTAAAAAAAATATTATTCACCCCAAACTATGTGATATGTAAGCGTGTCAAATGTTTCCTTTTCATCTGTCTTTCCAGGGGGACATTTTAAAATGTGTGGTGAACATGGACTCTAGAGCTCGTGCCCACTGGTTATCAACAGCTGTGTTCTCATGGAGGCAATTCTTAAAGACCATGTACATCTACCTGACGAAGTAGCCTCGTGCAGGAAATCATCCTGTTGACTGAGAACTGAATCTTTCCCTCCTAGGACTATTTGAATGGTCCATTGTACTGTTTGTGGAGCAAACGGCCCCTCACAAAGGTCATAGCACGTCACCCGGGTTCAACCGCACCTTAATCCTCTTTTACCTTTCATTAATTCTTTAAAATATACTATGTATAAACTGAAACAAATACTATGAGCTGACATTGTGGGGGTGGCACTGTGAAGGAATATGTGCTATATTTATTGCTGGAGCTACATAATATCTGTCTTCCTTAGTTTAAACTGACCCAGAAATATGGTATGCAGGTATTGGAGCTCTTTTTGTGCTGACACATTGCGTGGATTCATTCCACTGAGATTTTATACTGAATATCTGTGGGTGATGAGTGAAACATTTAAATGTTTGACAGTCTTCAGATTTTTATTTTTACAAAATTGCTTAAAATGATGTTTGGAGTGTCACTTTGCACTTTCAGTTGTATGGTTTGTGTGGTGTGTGAAACACTGTTGTCACCAGCTGTATACATCTTAAAATAAAGATTTTAATGTGTGAACTGAAAGAGAAGTTGAACATTTATAAACAGAAAGGGTTCCAGTGGTCATGAAAAACCTGGAAATATCAGGGAAATTATAAATGTTTTTTCCCCCAAGAAAGACTATTAAAATCAGAAGTCACACACAAAAAAGCTAATTTCTATAGTGAAATATACACTACCGTTCAAAAGTTTAGGGTTGGTAAGATAAAAAAAAAATGCTGCTTATGCTCCCCAGAACTGCATTTATTTGAGCAGAAATACAGTAAAAAAAAAAAACAGTAATATTGTTAAATATTATTACAAACATTTAAATGTTTGACAGTCTTCAGCTTTTTATTTTTACAAAATTGCTTAAAATGATGTTTGGAGTGTCACTTTGCACTTTCAGTTGTATGGTTTGTGTGGTGTGTGAAACACCGTTGTCACCAGCTGTATACATCTTAAAATAAAGATTTTAATGTGTGAACTGAAAGAGAAGTTGAACATTTATAAACAGAAAGGGTTCCAGTGGTCATGGAAAACCTGGAAATATCAGGGAAATTATAAATGTTTTTCCCCCCAAGAAAGACTATTAAAATCAGAAGTCACACACAAAAAAGCTAATTTCTATAGTGAAATATACACTACCGTTCAAAAGTTTAGGGTTGGTAAGATAAAAAAAAAATGCTGCTTATGCTCCCCAGAACTGCATTTATTTGAGCAGAAATACAGTAAAAAAAAAAACAGTAATATTGTTAAATATTATTACAAATTAAAATAACTGTTTTGAACTTCAATATATGTTAACTCCAATCTTCAGTGTCACATGACAGTAATATTGTTAAATATTATTACAAATTAAAATAACTCTTTTGAACTTCAATATATGTTAACTCCAATCTTCAGTGTCACATGATCCTTCAGAAATCATTCTAATATGCCAATTTGGTGCTGAAGAAACATTTCCTATTATTACCAATGTTGAAAATAATTGTGCTGCGTAACATCTTTCGGGAAACAGCGATGCATTTCTTTCAGGACTTCTTGATAAAAATAAAGTAAAAAAAACGGCATGTATTTGCAATATTTGTGTCTTCGTAACAATGTAAAAGTCTTTACAGTCACTTTTGATCAATTTAATGCATTGTTGCTCAAAAGTATTAATTTGTCAAAAAACACATTAACGACAAACTTTTTAATTATAGTGTTGATTTGACTTGACTGACTATAAATCCATAATTTTGAGTGCAATCTCTATTAAACGATTTCTTTAAAAAAATCTTTTCCATTTGTTCAGGATTACTAAAAAGCCACAACAATTAATTCAACAAAAGGTAGGGGCCTTTGTTTCTGTTAGTGAATTAATGTATCCCCAATTAAATACCATTAAAAATATAAATACTAAAAGCTTCTTGAGTTATGATTGTAGAAAAAAAAATACTCATTTGAATTATAATTGAATTTGCAAACTTAACCTTAAGGAAACAGATATGAGAAAATGAACAGCATTTTCTTCAAAGACAGTTTGCCTTGAACAAACTTCACACAATTTAAATTTGAAAAGACAATTTCATATTTTTATTGTAGTTGCTCTACATTATACAAAACGACCCCTTTATATATTGTAACGATATTTGTAAAGCTTGTTTTGTTGGGAAGACAGGTCAGATCACATCTATTACTTTAGATAACATTCTTACTCACAGATATATTACCATCACCCACAGGTTACTATATATAAACCATCAATATTTTGTGTCAGATGAGTACATTAGTACAAGTGCTTTTCACAAACACATCTTCCTCCCACATGACAGCCAGTTAATCAGTCCTGCGGTAAGTGATGTGCAAATGCTGCGTCAGAGGCTGTCCTTCCAGTGCCATAGAGATCGTCTGTTCCAGCTTTCCATCCGGCTTCAACTGGATGTGCCTGGAGATCTGATCAAAAATCTAAATTATTAGTGGAACATTTATTCTAATTACTATGTCAGTTCAGCAATATTCAAGACATATTTTCTTTATGAAAATATCACTACAGAGCTTATTGTTTCATTAATCTGACAAGGTGCACATTAAACATTTTGTGTTATGAGACCTGTTGAACATAAGGCTGCTTGGCAAAAGATGTTCTAGCCAGGGCAGTACTGTGCAGAGTCAGCTGCTGTCCAGTGAGTTCCCCCTCCTCAATCTCCACAAGACCTGGAAGAGGTAGAAACAGATGAGTATAAAAAATACATGGTACTATAGACAGTGCTGCGTAGATTACTTTCAAATGTGTAGTTTGTTAATGATTACAAATGACACTGCAACAATTGTAGTTAATAACGTAATCTATTAGATTACACTTTTTTTTATTAATTTAAAGGCACAATATGTCATTTTCGCCGCTAAAGGGCACATATTCAAAATAAACAAAGAAGCAAAGGCGTAGTTTGATGACGCCGTAAATCATGGGAGTTGTCGTCTTCATCCCCACAGCCGATGCAATCCGACGGGACTCGGGCAGAAATCATGTTCATGGATGAGCTAATGATTTATTAACGTAGTATTATGAAGCAGGGTGAGGCTGAAAGCCGTCGAAGCTAAACAAGCGCGACACACGGCTCGAAAGCAGCGGAGCTTTAATTATGCCACAGTCGACTGCTACCGCTCCTTCCAGTCGTGCGTATGTGGGAAAAAAAGCAACGCTGTTTTATCATACAAGATACATTTGAAAGTTCCGATTATGAGTATTTTAACTAACAATCCAATTACAAGCACTTAATTTTTGGAATCTGATTACATAAGAAAAGTTAAAAAAAAACAAATCAAACACCTGAGTTCTGTGCAATGATGAAGGCCACCCTGTTGGTACCTGGCTGAAGCCTGATGAATCCACACTCCCTGTGAAGTGGCTTTTTGCTCTCAGCATGGACTCTCCTGGCTCATCGGACTGCCAGGTTCTCAGGAGCCAGTCCAGCGGCAGCACTGCGGGGTTCAGCTCCGCTGTGGAAACACGGAGGCCAGGGGAAATAAGGTCGAAGCACGCTTGTCCGTGATGTAAAATATGTTCACGTTCTGATGCACCTGCTGATTATTAAATGCATGTTTCATTTGAATGGTAATACGTTTGACGTTTGACCTACAGACAACAGCTCGGAAATCCATTAGAAATAAGACAAATCAGGTGTTTATGAATTTAAATGGAATCATCATGTTGTCCTACCAGGGTGATTGAATGGGCATGACATTCCGCTTGAATACTTTCAAGTAACCACGAATTTTATCAATTTAAGTAACACTGAACCACTATCTGTTTGCCATCACAGTGCGTGTCTACTTCCTGATTAGACACTAGGAATTCTGGGAGATGTAGTTATTAGGCGCTCTATCGATAGCCTACGCTTTCGATAGCCGCTTTCGAAGCTTCGAAACTTTTGCGAATCATTTGTTTTGTAACAGTGGGTCGGAGCGCGTATCGAACTGCCAAAGTCAAGTGATTTCAGTAAACGAGGCTTCATACGTCATAAATGTTTCGAAACGTTTCGAACTGTCAATGGCTTTCCATTGGGGGGCGATCTCTGTGAACCAGTGAATCATGCGAGTTTATTGAGATCGCCTCCCAGCAGCGAAACAACGAACCAGCGTCTATGGTTTTTACCTGGGGCAAGTTCAAGCTCAAACCGGTGCGCAACGTTTTGCTATGGTTTCCGGTTTGAACTACATGTTTCCTGGAAACGGTGTGCAACGGGGTTTGAGATACGTTTTCTCTTGTTTGGTGGGTGTGTCAAAAATGTCAGCCCAATCAGCAGCAACATGTATATAAACAAGGCGGTATTAAAGAGACAGCTGGCACAATGTAATTAATGTAAATAAACATGTGCAAAAAATATACTTGCTCTTGTGAATTAATTTTGATGTTAAAGGAAAAATAACTGAAATAATAAGAGTACAAGTATAGATCTGGAACTTCTTTAAGTCTGTCTAAATATCATTTAGTAATTGCAATGTCTTCTGGTCCATATCCTTTCCTTAGGAAGGTGTGCTAGACACTGATTAATGTAACAGAACGCAGCCCTGATCTCGGATCAGTTTCATCAATTTGTAAACATTTTTAACAAGACATTTGTGTAAATAAAAGGATGAGAAGTAGTTAATATATCTTTCTGGCCTATATTCATTTATTTATTTAACCAGGAAGAGACTCACTGAGATTAAAATCTCTTTTCCAGGAGTGTCCTGGCGGTATTTTATCATTTTTATGGCATTTGATGTATTATACTTTCAATAAAACATTTGCAATGGGGTTTTAAAATCTGTTTTTATACGTTTTAGCCTGAGTTTTTGATGCATTTACACACTTTTGAACAGCAGGCGTCACCAGCGTGTGGTTTCGAGCGCTTCGAAACAGTGAATCATTTTGCGAAGCAATTGGTTCAATTGATTCGAAGCTTCGAAAAGGTTCGTTTCTATAGGGTTAGATCTCTGCCACAATTCTGCACGCGAAAGATCATATTTTGAGCGCACA